GTTGGCCCCTGTTGCCCTGTCACGTCGGTGCTTACAGCATAGGACACAGGAGTTCTAGGTGCACAAGCCCGAGTGGCACCCGCAGGCCTGTGCCCGCCCTGTGACCAGGACTCCGCAGTCCTTGAGGGAGGCTCTGGGTCGTTTTCAGAGGAAGGTCCTGGGGGGGGGGGCAGGGTGGCTACTCGAGAGGCCTCTGTTCCAGCTGTGCCAGGCCTGCACTGTCCCTGGGCAGGCAGCTGGCAGGTATTACGAACTCATCTCCAGCCTGGGCTCCGCTGGGGCCAGGTCAGAACCCTCCAGCTCCTGCCTTCGTCCCCACCCGGACCATCGGGATCTGCCCGCAAGTCCACCACTGTCCACGCCCAACCCACGCTTCACCCATCTGTGTGCGCCAGCCTCACCCCCACAGCCCGGTCCTCTCTGTGACCACTGGAGTCTGACCTTGTCTCTCCTCTGCTCAGGAAGCTTCCACATCTCCCACCCCCTGGTAACAGCCAAAGTCCTAGCCAGACCTGCAGTCACAGCTACTCAGGAGCCTGAGGCAGGAGGGTCACAAGTTTGAGCCCCACCTGGGCAACTCAGACCCTGCCTCAAAATAAGGCAGTAAAAGAAAAACTTTAAAAGTGGGTAGGGATGCAGCTGAGTGGGGGAGCTCTTGCCTGGCATGAGTGAAGCCCTAGTTCCATCCTCAGTACTGGGGAAAAAAGAAAAAGCCAAGGTTCTCCTCCAGTCTGTCATCTTCTCCCACTGTCCCTTTGTCCACTAGCTCCAGTGCAGCCCCAGGGGCTTTGCACCTGCTGTCCCTCCACCTAGCGCATTCTTCCCCAGCCCACTGCCTTCTAAGGGAGGCCGGCCCTGGCCACTCTGCCCTGTCGGGGCAACAGGCACCCTGTTGTCTGTCCCTGGACCCTGACAGCCAGGCTAGGATGCAGGCCCTGTGTTGGGAGGAGACAGGGCAGGGCACATGGATGGTGGAACGTAGGGATACAGGGCAGTGGCCCCAGGCCTCTCGGCTGACTCCAGTTAGGGGTCACTGCTTCACACTGTGGGTCCTGCACCTACCGCATCCTTGACCTTGGCTGCAGGGTATTCATCCATCTGGGGCCACCAGGGGGCATTGCTGGTGGGGTGGCATTTCCTGGTGCTGACCTTGGTGTCCTGTGGAGGGGTCCTGCGCCACCCTATGCCATACGTCTGGGAAGGAACCCCTGTCATCCCCCACCTCTGTGGCGAGCACCAGACTCTTTGTATTTATTTCCCTATTTGCTTGTGGTGCTGGGGCCTTCACACTGAGCTCCATCCCAGCACTCTTCTATTTTGAGGTACAGTCTCGTTAAGTCACTCTGGCTAGGAACATACTGCCCTCCTGCCTCAGCCTCCCACAGTGCTGGGATCATAGGTGTTCGCTGTCACCTCCTGGCTCAATATTTGTTCTTAAGATTTTTTAAAAGATTTATTTCAGGTTGGAAATCGTTATGTACCTTTTTCTTTTTTCTTTTTTCTTTTTGGTTATTACCACCAATTTCCCAGTAACTTTGTGAGATGGCAGGTGGGGACTTGTCACTTCATGGATGAAGACGTGGAGGCTCAGAGAGGGTGGGTTACTTGACCAGGGCCACACAGCCAGGAAATAGTTTTGTTTTTGTTTTAAACCCCAGTACCTGGGGAGTACTGGGAAGGCAGGCCTTTGTCCTGGCTCACACCCTTCTCCTGCGACCGATCGGGGCCTCCTGTGGCCTGCCTTCTTGTGCTCAGGGTGAGAAGGGCCTCCAGCATGTGAAGATTACTGAGGAACCCTGGGAGCTGCAGCCTGCCCACCTGGGTGGCTGGGCAGAGGCTCCCATGCCCTGGGTCCCACCTGTACCTTCTGGGTCTAGAGGAGCAGGCACAGCTGAGGGTCCAGGCGGGCAGGTAGCTGGGGCCTGACTTGCATCCTCTGCTCCCAGGGAGCAACTGTCCCTGCCCCCGTGCTGGCCCTTGTGCAGGTGCTTCGAGCAGCCATGCACAGGATGGTGCCCACCTGTGCTCGTGGTTGGTGGGTGGGGACGCTGGGGGTCAGTGTTCAAAACATGCTCTGAGAGCTGCAGGAGGGCGTAGTTGTGCAAAGGCCCTGTGACTCCTGTGGCCTCCCAGCTGCCTGCACTCCTGTTGAACTCACCTCCCCGGCGGCTCTGTGCCGGTCTGTGTCGGGTCTTTACTACCCAACACTGGCAGGGGACCTTCAGCGTAGGACCTGTGCCCTCCGGCAGGGTGGGCCTGGCGGCACCCTGGCCCTGGCACACCCTGATGTTGGCAGAGCAGGAGTGCTATTGGCTGGGCTTCGGAATCTTGGGCCTCAGGGTGAGAATTACTCCTGGGCTGGGGCTGTCATCGCAGAACCACGTGTCACGCCCACGCCAGGGGCCCTGCCCGCGTCCTTGTGGCATCTGTGCTAGTGACCCTCCACGGGCTTCCTCTGTCCATCTGTAGCCACCCTGTCCCTTCCCTTGGAGGCTTCTAGGCAGGGCCCCTTCTCCCCCCTGCCTCCCTGGGTATGGCCTCCTCTTGGGGCCTCCTTTCTGCTCACTGAGTCTTGGGAACCCCTGCCCCCACCGTAGGCTGGCCTGAAGCCCGCGCAGGCACAGAGCGGGGGGGTGGGGTGGGGGGGTGGGTGAGGAGTACCAAGGCCTGGGGTGCACGTGCGAGGGCCCCTGGGTGCTCCCCAGCCCCGGAGCCTTCTCTGATCAGCACTTGTGGCCTGTTGGTCCTGCACTCGTAGAAGTGACTCGAGGCTGAGCGCTTGCCTAGCGGGTGGGGCTCGAATCTGTCCCCAGCATCCTCAGGTTTGTGTTGAGGTGAAACCGACAAAATGGAAAGCCGCCCATTCCAGGGCGCACAGCACGGAGAGGCTTTGCGCACTCTGGTGCCCCCAACGCTCCCCTCCCACCTCTGCTCAGTTCCCCACCAGAGACCAGGCGCTCATTAGCATCCCCCTCCACCAGCCTGAGGCCGACGCCCATCCATGCCGCCTCTGCGGGACGCTTCCTATAAATAGTGACCCTGTCTGGCGTCTTTCACTCAGCCTGTCTTTTTTTCCCTCTCTTACCTAGCAAATTTTATCGTGCTTTCTGTTTTGAAATAATCTAGAGGCACAGGGAATCACACGCACCCACCTGGAGCCCTCAGCACTTCGAGAAGGTGGCTTCGGGGTCTAGGGGCTGAGGGCTGACCCTGTTGCCATGTGGCCTGCAGTGCCCCCACCCCGTGGGCCCCTGGGTGTTGCCCGCGCCTCTCGCTTACCTTGTGGGGTACAGGCAGCTCCCGTTCTCCGGCCTGAGTGCTGGCTGCTCCTGCAAGCATGGCTGGGCTCTCTCCTGCCACCGGCTTCCTTTCCCAGCTGCCTGAGCCCCGACAACACGCGGGCACTGTCCCCCCACCCCAGGCCTGGTTGGTGCCTGGCAGCGGAGGAGAGGGTAGAGTTTCAGTCCTCCCCCAGCATCTGGCCAGCAGGGAACGGGGCTGGATGTATTTTAAGCCCTTGAATGGTTCAGCAGGAACTCCGAGACCTCCTGTCCCGTGGACGCTGTGCTGCCTTCCCGAGGGCCACATAGGCTCACAGGCACGCAGGCACTGCCCCCCTTGGGGTGCAGGAACTATTAATACCCTGTCCCTCTTGTGCCCCTCCTCGCTCCGGTCTCTTGGGTGGGGTGTGACACTCCAGGTCCATGGCCTGCTTGCCTTTCAAGCCCCCTTCCGTGCCCGCTGTCCATAGGGTTCGGCAGGGCCCAGTGTGGGCAGCAGGTGCGCTGTCTGGTGTGGGCACCATACACAGCGTCTGCCAGGACTCAGGATGCCGGCCCTGTCCTGCCCTCATGGCCACAGGTGGGCAGAGCCTGTGTGCTCTGACCTGTAGCCTGCGGGGGAGCCAGGCTGGGAGCCAGGCTGGGCACCAGGCTGATGTGCTCGGCTGCACTGTTGCACCTCACCCCCTGAGCATGGCAGGAAACCCACACAGCCCAGGGAGGAGACGCTTTCCTGCCTCCCTCTGGCCCTGCCATGGGGGCCTGGCATAAGCGCAGAGCCCTCCATCGGGGTGGGATGAGGTTGCCCGGCCTCACTGTGCAGCTTCTCCGGCCTGCTGCACCCTGTGTAGTGCCGCTCCTCTGCACTGCCACTGCGTGCCCATGGGCCTTGGAGAGGGCCTGGACGTGTGTGTGGCCTTGGGCTGGCCCAGTGGGAAGACTACCATGCCAGCGGCCTTGAACAAGGCTGGGAGGACCCGTGGAGACACAGGAGAGGGAGTTGGAGGGGTACAGGGGCACTGGCTGGAACCTGGCTCCCTGGCCCTTTCCTTTCACACGTGGAGAGGGGGCTGTCTGCTCCAGTAACTTGGGAATCTGTCACCTCTCTGGGAACACAAATGCACAAGGAACATAATCCAGAGTGTCTTTTACAGCTCAGAAGGGAAATGGATGATCTTTCTCACGGATTTTCAAAATAGCTGGGGTTTCTCAGAGCCCAGTGAACTTCCTGGGCCTGTGCTGGGTGCCCGGCCAGGCTGGCCTCTCACCCTGTGGTGCTGGCCTGAGCCCCTGCTTGCTGTAGGGACCTTGCTATCCCCCATGCTGTTGTGGGACGGTAGCATGGCTCCTTGGAGGCTTGGTCTGAGTGGTTTTATATTTAGCTGGGCCACAGCTCTGATGCCACTCGGATTTCACCTGGCACAGAAGCCAGAGGCTCAGGGCAGGCTCAGGCTCCTTTCCAGCACCGTGGCAGAATTTGATCGCTGCCTGACTGGTGCAGCCCTTCTGTGGGGAGGTTGGTGGTGGGGTGACGGCGGCAGTGGGGTGCACTGGTGGGCAGAGTGGAGCAGTGAGCCGGTGGCAGGCAACATGGACATCAGCTTGAGTATGGTAACTCGGGAGGCGAGCCAGGGCCTGAGCCCTGGCCTCAATGGCCTCCCCCGGCCTCCGCCCCCCAAGGCAGCCAAGAAACATAAAAGGGCTGTTCTCTTCTTCGAGGTGGAGATTCTGGATGCAAAGACAAGGGAGAAGCTGTGCTTTCTGGACAAGGTAGGCCCATGCTGCTTGTGGAACTAGGCCAGGGACCACATTCCTTCCAGCCCTTGGTGCCCCACCCCCTGCCCTTCAGAGGGCACACAAGGGGCGTTGACCCCAGGTAAGGCAGAGCAAGCAGCGTGGCCCCTGGTGTGGCCGGGACTGGCCTGCCTGAAGAGGGAGCAAGGCCACTTCAGTCGGCTCTGCAGGGCCTCGGGAAGGAGGTGGGGCTGCCCCTCCTCAGGGCCTTTGTCCACTGGTTAGTGGGGTGCTACCAGCTGCCTGGTAACACGGGGTCCCAGGGCCACAGCTGTCCCCACACTGGCAGAACTGAGGCTGTACCTGCCTTGACGGTGCGGTGGGAACCTGGCCCCCAGCCCCCCTTCCCTGGGTTCCTGGGGGGCCTCTAGAGCTGACCTCCCTGCTCCGGCTCACCAGGTGGAGCCCCAGGCCACCATTGCAGAGATCAAGAACCTCTTCACCAAGACCCGTGAGTGCACGCCTGCCACACTGCCCCATCCCTGCTGGCCCCCGAGGCCGATAGAGCCTCCCCTCCCCCACTGGGCGGGCTCTGGGAGGAAAACGCGACTGCCCTTCTGGTCTCGAGGGTGGGTGACGCCGCTGTCTGCCTACAGACCCGCAGTGGTACCCGGCCCGCCAGTCCCTGCGTCTGGATCCAAGTAAGGACCACGCCTGGGGGTGGGGGGTGGCAGGTGGGGGACACAGCAGCCTTTAACCTGCTCACTCCGCAGAGGGCAAGTCCCTGAAGGATGAGGATGTCCTGCAGAAGCTGCCTGTGGGCACTACGGCCACACTGTACTTCCGGGACCTGGGTGCGCAGATCAGTTGGGTGACGGTGAGTCCTGCCCTGCCCCGCCCCACCGCGCCCCCCACCGCAGTGGCCACAACCGCGTGACCACTGTGTCTGGGTCCTAGGTCTTCCTGACGGAATACGCTGGACCCCTGTTCATCTACCTGCTCTTCTACTTCCGGGTCCCCTTCATCTACGGGCACAAATACGACTTCACGTCCAGCCGGCACTCGGTGGTGCAGTGAGTGTGGGAAGGCTGCGTGGGGGAGGCACGAGGGGCGGGGCTCCCGCGGCACCACCTGAGCCGCCCCCTCCCCCCAGCCTCGCCTGCATCTGCCACTCATTCCACTACGTCAAGCGGCTGCTGGAGACTCTCTTCGTGCACCGCTTCTCTCATGGCACCATGCCCTTGCGCAACATCTTCAAGGTGAGAGCCCCGCCACACCCACCCAGCGACCACACCCACCCAGCGACCACACCCACACAAGCCCCACCACCCGCCCGCAGACGGTGGATACCCGGAGCCCCACCCACCGCCGGCCCCGCCCACCTCAGACCACACCCCTCGGCTCCAGCCTCCAGAGGCCCCGCCCACTGCAGAGCCCCTGCGCTTGTGCGCTGCCCACATCCTTCCCTGTCGCTCCCTTTCAGAACTGCACTTACTACTGGGGCTTTGCTGCATGGATGGCCTATTACATCAACCACCCTCTCTATACGCCCCCCAGTAAGTGCCTGCGACCTCCCCAGCCCTTTTGCCTTCGGCCCCTTTCCTGGCTCTCACGGCCCCTCCCTGCTTCCTCTGCAGCCTATGGAGCTCAGCAGGTTAAGCTGGCGCTGGCCATCTTTGTGGTAAGGAGGCAGGGGTGACGGGTGGGGTGTGGCCGGGGGAGTCCTGGGCTGACCCACTCCTCCCACAGATCTGTCAGCTGGGCAATTTCTCCATCCACATGGCCCTGCGGGACCTGCGGCCGGCCGGTGAGTGACCTCCAGACCTGGGGCGCCTGGGTTGGGTTGGCTACGTCAGGGACAGGGTCCCACTTGCCTCCGTTGTGCCCGTCAGGGTCGAAGACCAGGAAGATCCCATACCCCACCAAGAACCCCTTCACGTGGCTCTTCCTGCTGGTATCCTGCCCCAACTACACCTACGAGGTGAGGGCCACGCTGCCCTGGGTCCTGGCAGCTGCGTCACAGGGTTGGCGTGTGTGCACTGGAGTTGGGTTAGTGTTGAGCTGGCATGGGGTACGTGCCTGTCATTTCAGCACCAGGAGCTGAGGCAGGAGGACTGTAAGTTCAATCCAGCCCGGGCAACACAGCACTGAGACCGTGTCAGTAAAATACTGGGCTGGCAGTGTAGCTCAGGGTGAGGGGTACGGGGTGGCCCCTGAGCCCTGGGCAGCCTCATGCAAGCTGGGCCACCAGGCTGCCGACAGAACACCCAGCCCCTCCCTGCCCACAGGTGGGGTCCTGGATCGGCTTTGCCATCATGACACAGTGCCTGCCAGGTGAGCCCACCCTCCCTGCCTCACCCACCACCTGCCCTCCTGCCTGTAGCAGGCTGCTGACCCTTCTGCCACCCACAGTGGCCCTCTTCTCGCTGGTGGGCTTCACACAGATGACCATCTGGGCCAAGGGCAAGCACCGCAGCTACCTGAAGGAGTTCCGCGACTACCCGCCCCTGCGTATGCCCATTGTCCCTTTCTTGCTCTGAGGCCCGTGTGCCCCGGGGTGGCGCTGCTGCCTCTGCCTGGAATAAACTCCGCCCACCTGGACTCGGCTCTTGTGTTCTTTGGGGCCAGGACCTGCTTGTGCCTCCCACCAAGTGGCGCTGTAGGAAGGAGGCTTAGGCTGAGCAATGGGCACTTTTATTTCTTTACTGGTACTTGGTGGGCGACACTACAGGGCCACCTCGGGCGCCACTTCTCCTGAGCCCTGGCCCCGGGCCGCCCGGGCCTCCCTCTCCTCCCGTCGCTTCTTTCGCTGCAGCAGCCGGCGCTCACGTTCATACTCCTTCATGCGCTGCACATAGCTGGGGACGGCAGGCAGGGCTCAGGGTCCAGGTGGCCTGCCACTGCCAGCTCCATCTCTACCCACAGGGCCTGCAGCCAGGCTGCCCAGTGTGCCCAGCCCGCTCCCTGCCCTCCAGTGGCCTGGACTCACTCGAGGTGCTCGCAGTAGTCCCAGGCGTGCTGCTCGTGCTTGCAGGCCAAGAAGTTGGGGAAGCTGTCGCGCTTGCACTTGAGCAGCCGGATGAGGTGGTGCGCACAGTAGTCCCGCTGCTTGAGCGTCAGCTGTGCGTCGTTCATCTCCTGCTGCGTGGCCACCATCACTGCAGGAGGGGGTGGGCAGTGAGCTCAGCGGGCGGAGGGAGGGGGGGAAGAGACCGGGCCCATCCTGGCGAAGCCCAGGGGTTACTTCACAGCAGCAGATGCAGCATCTGCAAGGGGCTCCTTTCTAACTTGCACAAAGGCAACCTGAACACGGAGGCCCAGAGAGGAATGTGGTGCTCTCCCGAGCTGGGGGGCTTGCCCCCTGCCTTTCACGGTCCCTTCCCATGGGATCCCAGTCCCAGCTCCGATGGGTCTGAGCTGCAACTTCCTCTACAAAAACTGGGTGCTGTGGCACACAAGGTAGTCCTGGTTGCTTGGGAGGCTGAAGCAGGAGGACTCCAAGTTCAACCCCCACATGATAACTTACTGACATCTTGTCTTACAAATACATGCCTGCTCAGACACAGCTCACAGGGTCATGAAACACCTCCTCAGCCTCTCCCTGTGGTTCTTCCTATAAGGAGCCCTCCCCAGGTTTCTGCCTGGCTCCAGGCTGCCCCAAACCCAGGTGTTAACTGTGGGCTTCCCAAGACCTCTGCCGTTAGTAGTGGTGGCTCCCACCATCATCCAGTGTGTGGAGCTCAATGTGGGGGTTCTGCCCAACAACAACTGTATCCACCTGACACCACTGGGGGACCCTGGGGTTCAGATCAGCCTCCCACCCCAAAGCAAGGTCTTCGGTGGTGGGGATACAACTGTGATGTGACAGGTGCTCCCGCCCTTCAAGGGAGGCACACAGCAAACGCAGCACAGTTACTTCAGGTCTGTCAACTGAAGGTTCAGGGAGACAGCGACACAGCAGCACACAAGTCATCCCAGCTGAGGCAGGACGATCACACGTTCCAGGCTGGCCTGGGCAACCTAGGGACTAGTGAGACCCTGTGTCAAGCAATGAAAGACTGGGAGTGTAGCTCAGTGCAGAGCACTTGCCTAGCACATGAGAGGCTTAGGGTTCCATACCTAGAAATACCTCACCAAAAAAAAAGAAAAAAGAAAAAAAAGGAATTAAAAAAGCAGGGGAGAGAGAGTGTTGGGAGGGGACCATGGGAGGTGAGAGTTCGGCTGGACAGCGACCTGGGGGAAGAGCTTTCCTGGTCTTGAGGGGAGGGGACAGGTGTCAGGACACCCCAGGAGGGTGGAAGGGAGGGATCCTGGTGCTGTTTTGGATCTGCTGAATGCAAGATGCCCATTAACATAAAAATTGAGGTCTGTGGGCATGGAGTTTAGGCTCAATGCTCCCTGGCCATAAAACAGGAGCACTGGCAGAGGGTACAGGGAGCCAGGGGACTGGCAGAGAACGGGGAAGGCCCGAGCCTTGGGGCCTGAAAGGACTTGGGGAAGGATGGGGAGACAGCCGGGAACGTGACGTAGTCCTGCCCCTTGAGGGAGGCACATGGCAAGCACAGGAGCACAGTTACTGCAGGTGTGTCAGCCGAAGGTTCAGGGAGACAGCAAGACAGCGGCACACATGGCCCAGGGGACCCCAGGGACACGGAGTCCTGGGAGTCAGGTGAGGAGCATGTCCAGAAGGTGGCAGTGGTCAAAGTCAGGCTAAGAACAGGGCTGACATGGGCTTGGTGTTGCTGTCACTGGTACATGTGACAGGAGTCCTTCGAGTGAGGTGTCGGGGACGGCTGGGGGAGATGGGCTAGAATTTAAAATGGAAGTGACACTGTCAGCAACATGCTGCTGATGGAGAGACTGCTGCAGAGTCCTGGGGTCTGAGGAGACTGGGATGGAGGGAGGACGGGGTTCATGTGGAGGAGGGGCTCGGCCACGCAGGGAGGGTCATTTGGAGTAACAGGCAAAGATGAAGAGGAGGGGTCTGAAGGTATATCTTGGGGAGGGGACAGAGGGGCCAAGAGCTTTTCGACTGCTTCTGTTTTCTCAATAAGAGGCAGCCGGAGGGCCAGGGATAAGGCTCAGTAGCACAGCGCCTGTCTGGCAAGCACAAGGTCCAGAGTTCAATTCCTTATACTTTAGATTAAAAAAAAAAAAAAAAAAAAGACGCAGCTACCTATGGTAGTGTGCTCCTGAAATCCCAGCACTTGGGAGGCTGAGGCAGGAGGATCACAAGTTCAAGCCCCGCCTGCGCAACTTAGCAACCTGCAATCCTGCAAAAAAGGAAAAGAAAAGCAGCAGCGGCCTAAGGGGCCTAAAAGTGAGAGAGGGACAGTGACTGGCCAGGGACAGAACAGGCGGGCTGGGCTCCTCCAGGCTCCAGTGGGGAGGCAACTCAGAGGCAGACGCCGAGAGGTCTTTAGTTTGGCAACAGCAGAGAGAGAGGAGCGGGGTTGCAGGTGCTCATGGGGTGAGCTGGTCAGAAACTGAAGGCTCAAGTCAGCCCCTACTCATGCCCTTCCCTGTCGCTGCCTCCTGAGCCAGCCTGGACCCCCGGGGCCGCCCCCAGGTCCGCCGGTGCCTCTGTCCCCCCATGGGCTGAGTCTGCCGTCTCTCCCGCGGTGCCCACTTGGGACTGGAGTCGGAGGTCTTGTGCCTGTGGTATTAACACAGCAAGGAGGGCTGCGAATATAGCTCACTCGTGGTCCACCTGCTTCACATGTGCGAGGCTCTGGGTTCGATCCCCAGTACCGGAAAACAACAGCAACAAAAACGACTAAAACATAAGCAAAGTGCTGCCCTAGGTCAGAACGCTAGGCGTGAGCCCCCGCCCCCCGCTTTCATGTAAATAACCTGGTTTTTGTTGTGGTTGCTGCTGTTCTGAGACAGGGTCTCGCTATGTAGCCCAGGCTGGCCATGCACTAGCGGCGACCCTCCTGCCTCAGCCTTCCGAGTGCTGGAACTCCAGGCGTGCGCCACCGCGTCTTGTGCACATTTGAACATGACAGTGAGATCTGAACAGGGGAACGGCGATCGTGCCCCTTCCGTGACAAACCCTCCCGAGGCCCGTGGCTCCCCACTGCCCCCGGAACAAAGCCCAGCTCGGTCAGCCCCAGATCTCTCTCCTGTCCCCGGGCGTCCGGCGGGTCGAGCATGTCCTCCGGTGCCCCGAGGAGGACGCGGCCGCGACCAGCCCGGGGCACTCCCGAGTTGAGCGGGTCCCGGCGCCCGCTGGCCGCGTCTGCGCACTGGGCCTCACCGCGCTCCTTCCGGTCCGGGAAGCCGTGGTCCGGCGGAAAGGTGGGCATCTGCAGCGGGTCGGGCTCCACCGAGGCATCGCCCACGTAGCGTCGGGCCAGGTGGGCCCCCATGGCTGCCCCACCGCAGAAGCGTGCGGCAGCCGGGGTCACCTCACTCCCACCCGGAAGTACTGAGCTCTTCTCTTGCCTCGGCTTCCGGGTCGCTCTGGCCGCTGCGGTGATCCTAAAGACTAACAAGCGGAGCGCTTCCTGGCGGCCTGGTGCCCCCTGGCGGCCGGGAGGAGGCGGCGCCGGTGCGGCTCTGTCGCATTGGACTGTTGGAACCTAGGCGAGGAGTCTAAAGCCCATCTGCGTGCGGGATGGGACCGAGTCTCAAAGCCAATCCCTCCTCTGACTGCGCACAGGACGGGATTCAGCAAGTACGCAGGTCTGAGCCCGCTGCTCCGGAGTCCCGCCTGGAGAAGCAGGGAGTTTCAGAAGTAGCCAGTGGGGCACTCTAAGCACGATGATTTCATAAAAAGCGTGGAGCAGAAGACAGATGCCTTGGGGAAACAGCCTCAGAGAAAACGATTCACTAAAGACTCTCAGTTTAGTCTTTAACACTGAGATGGTGAAAGACAAAATTGCTAAAGAACTAAAACAAGCCAGGCGTAATGGCGCATGCCTGTAATCCCACAATCTTTTTTTTTTTTTTTTTGTCTTTTTTGTCTTTTTTGAGACAGGGTCTTGCTGTGCAGTTCAGGTTGGCCTTGAGCTCACTTTGTAGCCCATGCTGGTCTCGAACTCGCAAGGATCCTCCTGCCTCAGCCTCCCGAGTGCTGGGATTACAGGCGTGGGCCACCATGCCCGGCTAATCCCAGCAATCTTGAGGCTGAGGCAGGAGGGTTGCTGTGAGTTCGAGGCCAGCCTTGGCTACAAAGTGAGTTTAGGGCCAGCCTGAACTGCATAGTGAGATCTGTCTCAAAAAGACAAAAACAAAACCAAAACCAAAACCATATTTTTAAAAAAGAACTAAAACAGATTTGGCAGTTTTTGCAGCAAAAGATACAGTCTATGTAGTCATTACTATAGAGAGGTTGACTTGATCTGAAACTTGGCTCAGTCTTGTCCAACCTTTCTGTGTGCACTGCCAAAAGGGAAGGTTATGAGTTCTTTGCTGGACAGTGGACAGGTACTGTGCTCCACGTCACTGCATTTATAAATATTCCGACGCTGGGGGATACCGCAGCTTGCCAGTTGATTATGTATCACTACCCTGAACTTAAGGAAGAAAAGGGCATAGTGCTGATGACCGCAGAATTTTATTCCACATTGCTGAATGTTGAGGAGGCACAATGCACCGCCAATCAAGTTGATAGTAAAGAGACCTATGGGTTAATGGAGACGTTTAACTTCAGACCAAATGAGTTGAAACACATGTCTGTCATCGCTGGATTAGAGCACAGCAGACTTGAAGCAAAACTAAAATATACCCAGAACCAGGATGAGTCTTAGAACTATAGAAGTTGGCCCTTCACAGAGTCAGCTCAGCCCTGGATAGTCTAGACACCCCCCGCCCCCCGCTGAGCGCTTATAATGAGCAATCTTTAATGAGTTTTCCTGTGTGCTTACTGCAAGAAGTGATCATGGACGTGAGCCTTAATATTTGCTGTTGAGGGCCACTGTTTCTCTTGCATGGTGGCCCGCCCTCACGCTGTAGGGTGTGTACTTCTTTTCCTATTTGTACATGGCCCAAAGTTGCCCTGCAGAGCCTATATCTTTTCCTACCTTTAACAGAACTTTGCTACTGTTTGAAAAAATAATACTTGATACTCAGGAATAAAAGTACCCAAGTATCTGATAATTACCTCTCAGCATTCTTGAGGTTTTCTTTTAAATGTTTCTGGTCAAGAGACAGCCAGGGATCTTACAGTTGTGACAGTTCATTTGATTTTACACAGTGTAACAGTGCAGTTATATTCTGGCCATTTTGATCTCGTAGCTTCCAGTTCTGCATCTTTATGAACTTGTGACGGGATAGTAAGTTTGAAGACCTGTTGTAGTTAGATGTGGGTTTTATGTAATCTTCCCATGGGCCAGTCAGCTGCCAAAGGCATAACCCCAGTAGCCTGTTTAGACCCTAAAGCAAGATAGTCCCATCAGGATAAAGACTTCATCCAGATGCCCCCCAGTTATCTGTAGTGTAGCTGGTTTAGGGTATGAACAAATTGCAGCTAGAGTTGGATAAATGGGTACAGTGCCTACATATTGTTAAACTGTAGCTTATGGCACCTACTTCTC